CTTCAAACACAGATGCTGCTGTTCATTGATGCAACCTTGAAAGTCATTAACACCTTTTGTCATGCGCACTAACCGGCGCTAAGGTGAAGAAAACCAAAGCTTTGCTGTTCCCCAGCGGGGCGCACTAACTGGCGCCCCAGTGAAGAAACTACAATGTAGCCAAGGTTGAAAAGACTACACACTCGCCTGAGTTTGGCGTGAAAGCAAAAAAAACAAGTCCTCTTTGCTCAATCGGCCAGCTTTGGCGATGAGTCTCTTCTGCTTTTTGCTTTCGCTTTTCAGCGTTTTGCTGACGTCTTTCAGCGAAGCTTTCAACTCCTGCCTTCTCCGCTTAAGGTCGCCCAGCACGTCAGTCATAGTAGTAGAGATCACAGGCGCAGCCACGGAGGAGGTCACAGCTGCACCTTCAGCCATAGAGCCCATAGAGGTCGCAGCTGCCAAATCATGCGCGCCGTCAGCCACGGAGCCTATGGAGGTCACAGTGGGGTCACTATGGTGCAACAGCAGGTTTTTCGCCTCTACAAATTCAATCAGAGCCGTTGAACAGGCATGCACAGTTAGCCAGCGCAGCTGTTTCCACACTGAACAAATGCTGGTCAGGCACCAGCAAAACGGCTCCATGTTTTGAACTGTCTGACGGTCCTTTTTTCAGACCTCCGCAACGTTCTGTCATTCTACCCTCCTATGAATATGTTGTGCTATAGCAACTGAGTTTAACCATCCCATAGGTAGTACAGTCGCCACCAGGTATCCATCCTCAGACCCAAACTCCACAGGTACCATCGACCGAGGGGCTGCCCGGGCAAATCCCATGAATCGCCACCACGCCTGCGGAACCCTGAACAGGTAGAAGAAGCATCTGATGTCCTCAGAAGAGATGCAAAGGTTCTCACCCTGGTCTAAAAACATGGTGCCCAAATTTGTGATCATCGGGAGTGTAGCAGTGTCTCCAATCATAGGTGAACACAATGAGTTCCAAGGCTTAAGGTTCATTATGAGACGACAAACCTCCATATCGCCAATAAACTCTTGCTTGCCCACTGCAAAAAGCCCGTTAAGCAGTGGCTCGCCACCCTGATGAAACAAAGAGGATTTACGAACAACTTGACAAAGTCCCCGGGATACCAGACCACGTGCGACCTTCTCCCACTCGGAATTGGAGACCATGACTCTGGGGGGTTTCTTAAACTTGAAAGATGTAGGGATCTCCAAAAACTCTTCAATGTGGTCAATATAGTAGCGCACCCCATCATCACAAAAGTCTCTGATATCCAATTGCCCTACCTGACTTGGGAGGGAAGCCTCAATGGCTGCCCATTCCACAGACCTAGCAATTTGAACCTCGTCACCCACATAGTCCAGTTGCTTACAACTAAAAAACTCCGTGAAACTCAAAGTTGGAAGGGGTTCCCCTAGCACACCGGACCGGCGCACCACGTCTGCTAACCTTTTTGCTGTTCGAAAGGAGGTCGAACCGCCTCGTCCTTGCCCACTGCCACCATAGAGATGGTTCAGGCTGGCAATCAATGCTTGGAGAAACTCTTTCCGCGGGCTGTCCTCTATCAGAGGCCCTGAGGCACAGATAGGGAATAAGTTCGACCTATCGGCCATGGGCTGAGGTCTGCAATGATGAAAATCACATAAATTCAGGACCTCTGTCACCAAGCAGCCCACGTCAGCCACCAAGGGCTGAGTCGAAAAGGTTTGGCGCCACGTACGGACGCACTCATGCAAATCGGTGTGAAACTTTTGGGAGTCCGGTGACCCTTTGGCCTGGTTACTCCCCTGTACCTCATCAGCTGCTGCCATAGCTGATGAAATGAACTGCTCAATCTCGGTCTCGGTGAAACTGCTGCCACATGCCTTTGCCTCGCTGCACTCCGCTGCTGCCACTGAAGAACCTCTCTTCTGCCCTCTAGTGCCCATAGAAGCCTCTTCTCTACCAGCCGCCTTTTGAGCGTAGCTCCTCACCTCTCTTTTTGGGAAATCAGGATCGGGTTCATGGGTGCGACTGGGAGGAGCCTGAGCAGGGTCCTCCCTTATTTCTTTTCCTTCTGCCATGGGCGATGCTCTTCTTTCTTATCTCCTCCTTTGCCTCGCCCTGACTCATCGCTCTTCCCTTTTGACGCACCTTTCCAATCCTTTCCCTTGCGATTTCCCTTTGTAGTTGGGTTTGCTTCAGCTGCTCGCCCGCCTGGAGCCCTGCCTGTCAGGGCGCGCAACTTCTCTTCTTCCCGTGCACGCTTCGCTGCTTCGTGAGATTCTGCTTCCTCCGCTATGGTGCCACCGTCGCTCTTTACGAGCTCGAGTTGGCGAGAGACGGTCCAATGGGACCCCCTAGCCGAGCTCTCTAGGCTCTTTAACCTCTGTGCCATGAGGTCACACGCTCGGGCGGCATGTCCTTGAAGTAGAAGGTCAAGGGTCTGGGCCACCGTGAGAGCTTCTTGACCCATGGGCGGGGACATGATCCCCATGAGGCACTGCCTAGTGTAGTGCGTGAACACCGGGTCAACCTTCCTTCGGTCCAGGCCCCAAACCGTCCCGGAGGCTGTGAGTAAATGTTGCTTGGCTTCAGCTGCTGCTGAGCAAGCAAGAGCGCCAGGGAACTTCTGCCATATGACCCCAAGCTTTCGTTCACTCTCGAACAAACCCACGGTGGTCACAGGCTCGCTGCTTGCTGAGGACGAGCTGCTGCTCTTGGATGAAGAGGCGCTGGACCTGCTCTTCTTCTTCTTTGACTTCTTAGACCTTCCAATTCTCCTGGCTTTCCTGAGAAACCTCCTCCTCTGGCGGCCCTCGGGGTCCAGGCCAGTCCTCTCGAAGAGCAACTTGGGAGGCTTCTGACCGACCTCCCATTCCTCCTCACTTTCAGAGCGGCGCTTCTTCTTTGCCTGAATCTCCTCCTCTCGCTTCTTTGCCTTCTTTGCTGCCCTCTTATCTTTCACCTCCTCATTGGGAGCAACTTCAACTCCCCTATCATGCCCTCTCCTTCTCTTGGCTTCATCCTCTCTCAACACCGCCAACTCGTCACGCTCATCTCTATGGGCCCTCACCTCTACCAGATTGGTAAACCACGGTGCTGCTTCGGAGTCTTCGGGGTCCACCTTGACAAAGAAACGGCCGTGCACCATGAACTCATCTGTGAGAGTGCCGGGGCACCCCTCAGGACACAGGTGCACGGAAATCCTCTTGTCTGCCTTTCCGGTGAGGGATCGCAGCAGCGCCTCGTCCTGGGTGCCAGACACCTCAAAGGTCCCCATGGGTTGGCCCTCTTCCAAACTCAGGTTGAGGAACTTCCCAACCAGATCCACGGTGCGCCCATAGTAGCCCGCCGACTTCAGCCAGACGGGGCCCAAGCTATGGAGCTCCCCTACTCCCACGCTGAAGCAACTCCTCTCCTCAACTGCTTCGTCTCGCTCTCGGGCTGCAGGCCTTCTAAGAGCAGGAGCCCGTGCCGGCCGGCGCAATGCCCTCTTCGGAGCCATGCTTCTCACCTCCGCCGCCTATCACGTCGTCTATTGAACCTTTCTTGTTTTGCTCGCCTCACCACTCCTTTTGACTTCCCAACTTGCCACCGAGGGTGGTTGGAATATGGCACAGGTCCCTGCCAACCTTTGCCCTGGGGAGCTCCTCTTGACTCCCAAGGAGGGGGGTGATCAGGCTCCCTAGGAGCTCTACGATCCGGGCGCCGGGGCGGAGGTCCTTCCGGCTCAGGGGGGCGGTCTGGTCTAGCCTTCTTTTCTTTTCCTCTCTCTCTGGGAGATGGGCTGGTCTCCCTTCGAAGGGGGGAGCGCTCTCGCCTAGAGCGGTGGTCTCTCGATCCTCGGGCTTTCTCAGGAGAACTTCGCTCCCGATGATGTGATCCTCTCCTCGATCTCTGGCGACTGCGACTCCGTCGATGGCTTCTTCTCCTCTTCTTTGACTTGGACTTCCTCTTCTTGGGCTTGGATTCTTCGCGAGCAACCACGTCCACTACCCCTCGGGCTGAACCTGGACTTGGCTTTTGTTCAGCTTTGATGCCCACCTCTGGCTCCGGGGCTTCCTTAGGAGGGGCTGGGCAACTTTTGGGGTAGATCTCCAGGTCTTTCTCTTCAGTGGTTCTCGACCTTGGCAATGGTGCAGCGCTTTGGGAGGTGTTAGGCAGACTCTCCCCTGGGACAGCGGCAGGTGGCTCTTTGGCAGGTTGGGAGGAGTTGGCAGCAACCTCCCCTGTAACCCCCGTGGCAGCTGGGGGTGGCGGAACACTCGGCGCTTTCGCTGTAGCAGCGGTCAAGGCCTCACCAGGAGGGGCAGCTCCTCCTTCAGGCCCAGCTGGCGCCGCCGCTTTGGGAGCTACTAGGCTCCCCTCGGCCCACCCACGCCGCGCAAGCTCGTCCCTTACCTCGGCTTCCAAAAGCCTCAATCGGTTGGCCACACCTTCAAGAAAGAAGGGAAGATGGCTGCCCTGGGCTATCAAGAAATGGACGCGGGTCAAGCTACGGCAGACTCCACAATCGCAGGCTGCCAGATGACCCCACATCCAACAAACTTAAGCCAAAGCTATGGCAAAAGAAATAATGTGGCTTCATGTTTAATCCCGAAAAACGTAGGATCATATACATATACATTCCATTTTTCACCATGAACCATTGAAGCGGATATCGCCAGGCAGATCATGTGGAAAACTTGAAGTACGACAAGGTCCTGGTGGCCACCGGTGGAAGTCCCCGGAAGCTCTTCGTGCCCGGTTCCGTGGCTCGGCCGTGGTTCGGCAGTGGGAAAATCCATGGGAAAATGTCCAGCATGGCCCATGTTTGATTACCGGAGGGTAATATGTATAAAGAATCTACTATACATTAATTACTTCTATTTCCCCAGATAGCTGGAAGCTATAGGGGTTCTTACTTCTCAAAGGTCAGGTCTTCGGTGGCGAACTTTGTGGCAAAGTCTGGCAAAGGTGCTGTGCAGGGTGCTGTGCAGTGGTGGAGTGCGGTGGCGAGGTTTGGCAAAGGTGCTGTGCTGCAGGGTGCTGTGGAGGGTGCTGTGCAGGGTGCTGTGGCTGCTGCAGTGAGGTGGCGAAGTCTAGCTTGCATCATTCACAGCCCCACAAATCTTGCAGGACGCGGCCTTCCCCTGCGCAACCTGCGGAGTGAAGGAATTGGTTCCAATCTTTGGAGACCGGCGGTTCCTCGAATTGGGAATCTGCGGTTACAAAGTTTCAATGCATTCGTTCCAGCGTTTCGGAACCGGTAATTCCTAAAACTGGAACAGTTCCAAGCTTGGGACGCTTTGATTCCAATCTTTGGGAACTGGCAGTTTTTCGAATCGGAAACACGCAGTTCCAAGATTGGGAAGCATGGGTTCCAACGTTTGAAAAAACGGTAGTTCCTAGAACTGGGAACATGTGCTTCCAAGATTGGGAAGCATCGGTTCTGGGAACCGCTAGTTCCTAGAACCGGGAACCTGCGGTTCCAAGATTGGCAAGCATTGGTTCCAACGTTTGGGAACCCATGGTTCCAAGATCGGGAAGCATTGGTTCGAACGTTTGGGAACTAGCACTTCCTCGAACTCCGAACCTGTGGTTCCAAGATGGGACGCACAGGTTTCAACGTTTGGGAACCAGCAGTTTTGCGTTTGCCGCAACCAACTCGAACATAAAACGTTCCTGAAACCCATGTATCTGGGGCCTATGCCGGTGTAGTTTTTTTTTTTTAAAATATAGAACTATAGAACTAGTAGAAATATATTGATGTTCTTGCGATGATACTGCTGCATTGACATGATCTAGAGACTGCTTCATGGTGCCGCATGGCTTCCCCATAGCCTCCCATGGCCCAGGATCTTAAGAATATCTTCACCCTGCGCACGCCTGAAGATGCCGCAAAGATCTCGGCTCTGGCCCAGAAAGGTCAGAAGATGATCGATGCTCGGCATGAACATCGGTGGATGTTTGGGCCGATTTCACCACCGAAAAATGGTTGGTTTTATAACGGTGTTGACTGTTGAAGCACCAGGGAGACTGGAGTTCACCCGTGGGAGATTCTCCCAACGGGAGACGGCTGGGCCCGGTTGACAACGGCTCGGGTGGATCATCCCGAGTGCGTTTCACAAGTCTGGTTGCGTCATTTGCCCCATTTTCGTCCATGAAAAGAAAATCATGAAATCATGGAACTCCAAAATGTTCAAGTTTTGGTATGTACTTCCCCCATCTTCCCCCAAAATTTTCTTTTTGGGATGGTCCCAGCTATTCGACATATTTTGCAATCTTTCAGGTGGCCCACGCAACCTAGCTTCGATGTATCCTGGCGAAACTCCTCGAATCAGCCACAGGAAACCCTTATGATATCCTATGACAAAAAAACAAATCTTTTTACAATATATGCGATGTCGCTAAAACTGAGGTCGCGAAAGCTGCGCGAAAGCATCATGAAATCACTGGCCATCTCAGGAACCGATTGATTGGAGGTACCTACCATATATGTTTGGCCTATGGAAGGGAATATCCCCACAAAATATGGCCTTATATGGTACAATACCTCTATTTTAGGATCCTGAAATTTCCATTGAAGAAATAATTCCCGTGAAGTGTCAATAACATTTCCACCGTTTCCAAAAAACAAGATAGTTGGCCCTCTAAGGTGGTGGGAGGCTCCTTCATCGGCATGGAAGTGGCGAGTTCGTTAGCCAAAAAGGGCTGCGATGTGGCGGTCATTGCCATGGAGACGGTGCCCTTCGAGCGAGTGCTGGGGAAGAAGGTTGGGGGAGGGGGGCTGGGCCGTGAGGATCATGAGAGTTTCATGAAACTTGGGCTATCTTGGAGACATGGTGGAACAATGAACAAAAACAGGTGTTCAACAAACAATAATATCTATAATATGTATATATATATATACACAATATAATATACATACTATATATAATATGATAATAATAACAATAATAATGATGACAACAATGATAATAGTAATAATAATAATTATATATATATATATATATATGTAAGTTGGCTTATAGGTATACTAGCTGCTGGCTTATCTTTTTAATTGGATCGGTGACAAATAGACCAACTTGCAACTATGGGCCCATTTTTTCTAGGGGGTGACGAGATAACGTAGTCAGATGTAGCGAACAAACATGGGAGCAACGATCAACAGAGGCGAGTTAAGGACTCCGATTTCAACTCAGCACATGTTAGGGAGGATCTAGATAGCTTTTACCGGAAGCGCAGCTGGCGGTTGTGTGCAAGATATCTTGACTTAAGTGAACATTTGAGCCATTTAGGTGGAGGAACCATATGCAATGTATACTTTCCCTCCAACTATCAGTGACCCTGGCATGACTTGGGGGGTGGAAGATGTTGGAAGACTACTTTCCACTAAAACTTGGTACTTCCCAGGGTCGAGCTGTTCATTTTGGTGCTTATTCATAGATGATTTTCCTAGGTTTTTTAGCCTCCATTGATGATTTTCCATGATGTTCCCCTGATTTTACCATATATTTTTACCATCTTTTCACATTTAAATACTCATTGTCCCAGGTTTTCTCATGTTTATTTCCCATAGCTTCCCCTGATTTTCCGATTTTCGCCGTGGCGATGTTCTGCCAGGTGGGAGCCTCCTTTGCACGCAAGCTGCAGAAGGAAGGCCGGGATTTCATGGGATGGGAAAGACATGGAAGCAGAGTAAGAACCATTGACGAACTCCATCATTTTTCAACATGGTTAGTCAACCACCAACCAGGTATATAACCATTATTATCACCATTATTATCATTTTTGACCATTATTATCATTATTTTTCATAGCTAGATTAAGAATGGGGTATAAGACTATGTTATCATTATTTTTCATTATTGACCATTATTGTCATTTTTGACCATTATTATCATTATTTTTCATAGCTATATTAAATTACCAGAGGGTATCATACAATGTGAGGCCCTGTGGTAGCAGCAGGGCCAACGGGGTGCGTATGTCCACCTAGTTATATTCCAACAAGTAGTCCAAGTAGCCACACACAGTGGCACAGCAAAGCAGCGCCGCAATGGCACCTATTTCACAAGACTGACCTGCCAGGGGCTCAAGGCCTAGACGGCAGCAGGAATGTACCTGACATGGTGAAAAGGAAATAAAGGGTAAACTGGTCAACTCATGATGCCACTGTTGCATCAGTACCAAAATCTTCTTGGCCAGTTACCCGTCGAATTGATCCAGGTAGCAGGAAGGGACTAAAGATGCCAGTTGGCGCATTTGTGTCACGGCGCTTTGGCCTGCCCTTCGAGCTCGCTTCTCTGACTGTATGAATCCTGGATCATACTTTAATTTCCATACCCACGTTTTGAAGAATTGCAAGATGCCCAATCTTGCTGAACGATCCTTCTTTGTGAGGCAATCACCAAGGTTCCAATCGCCAGAAATCCATATCAAGTTTCCCAGCGACTCCTGCAACTGCTCGCGCAACTGAAAAGCTTGAAGAGCGCTTCGCACGTTGCTCAATCCCAGAAGCGGGGACTCGTTCTTGTTGATTGCATCGAAACCTCCACGGCTGTCTGTGCCAATGACGCCCTTCACGAACTTCACCATGCTGTTCGCATCTCCAAGAAGATCGTCTTGACAAAGGCATCCATTCAATTGGCACCACAAAAAGCGAGTGCGGAAATTCGCATCTTCGCCCTCCACCATGGACTGGATCTCACCGTCGTTGGTAGATATTGCCTTTCTCTTCAATCTCCAAGTTCTCCAGGAGACAATGCTTAATCGTCCAGCTTCACCTTGGGCAATTTGAGGTCCACCAAGCATCGTCAGGTAGCCGCCTGTCGATCCGCCTTGAGGTCGATTTGCATGAGCCTGATCGGCCAAAGTCACCACGGTCATGTCCTGCCAGTGCGTCACCTCAGGAAGATGCCAAAGACGAAGTGTCACCGGATCTTGTCGCACTTCCTTGATGAGAGATTGAATCTCCTTGGCAGTCTGCAAAGTCTTGGTGACTGTCAGCTCCGTCAGGAGTAAGTTCACTCTTGCACAGATGTGGACTTGGGTTTGTGTTGCAAGCCATTGAAGAGCGCCAAGTGCGGCTCGGCAAGCTGCAACTTCTCCAGGTGATAGAGGATCTTTAGGATCTTGGCGTAGTCGTTCAGCATTGATTGCGAGATCCTGCAAGCTGTCGGCATAGAAGTCTTGAGAGAGCTGAATCCATCGCTCGTTGTTCTTCTCCATGACTTCCAAATCAATGCCAGTATGGCGGAAACATTGTTGCTTCATAGATCCCCATTTATATGCAGCATCGATTTGTTTTCGAACTTCCAACCATGCAGGATTGGACAAATCGCCAGATCTGTTGAAGTCATCCACATGTCCTCCAACATAGCCAATCACCATGTACTCGTCGGCTTTGTTCCTAGGGTTTGGATTCTTCTGGGTCCAGACCCAAAAACTGCTATCGCCAATGATGCGACGACCACCAAGTTGGGTGAACGTCCGGTCCACATCTTTCCACAATCCACGAGGTGCTGTTGCATTCCCGTAGATATTCTTCACCAATCTCAGCAGCTCATCGTCAGATGCACCAAGCGCCTTCTTCAGTTCAGGAACGCCACTTGTGTAGAGCTCCTCTTGCTCCATCTCCTTCGTTCCTGTCTGCAAAAACGCTGTTGACATGTCAAGGCCTTCCAAGGTCCATCCTTTTTGAGCTGTCAAAAGAAGTGAGAGGTTGCGCATCAGCTGAGATTGCACAGGTGCTGATGAGCGAAAAGTTGAGCTCACCAGATCTGGGTGTTCAAATCCCAGCACCACGATTCTTGCCTTTGCTTTGTAGTCGCCAGAAGGGTGAACAGCACTGTCGGGCTTCGAAGCTTTCTCCTCCAAAGCTTCTGCACGACTCTCAGCTGGAATCTGTTTCCAAGTCAACACCCATCTGGCACGTAGCACTCGGTCCGATTGTGCAGCACGTTTTGCCTCTTCCTGTGAAAGACACCTGCGAACTGCAGCCGTCTTGATGAAGGAAGAAACTTCAGAGGCTTTTGCATGATCGAACAGCTTTCGATCTTCATCTGAAAGCTTGCGGTAGACCACCTCAGAGGAGTTGATCTTCTTCACCAAATAGGCCGAAGGATCCCTCAAGAACATCTTACGTTGCCGGTTGGAGGACCAGTCCAGCTCCAAGTCAAAGACATAAGCTTCGTTGGTCTCAAGAATGGCCTGGTTGAGGTCCAAATAGAGTCCATCACCTGGGTCCTCATCCTCGTCAGCCTTGAACTTCTTGAGATCAGGTTCAACAGGGGCTGTGTCATCCAACTCCGGCTCGGCATTCTCCGCATTCTCTGTGTCATCAATCGCTGTAGTAAGAGGTGTTCTTGAAGACGTTGAAAATCTCCTCAGAGGTGCTTCAGGTGGATCACCATCAAAGATCGCTTCTTCAGCAGGAACTGGAGGAACGTCCTGCTCGTAGTCGGGTGAATAGCCCTCGGACTCGTAGTCATTGACCTTGTCATCGCCAATCTCTTGTTGTGGATCTGCAGGAAGTGGTCGAAAAGACACAGGTGTTCCATCGGCATATAGAGGTCGACCAACACCGTCCATTCGGTACTTGGAGTTGAAGCGCACCTTGGGACCAATCACGGTCTCAGTGTTGGGCTTGTCCGGCAGGAAGGGTCCTTCAATCTCACCATCCATAGGCTCCTCACCCTCGAGGTCCACATAGTTCCGTCGAGGAATCATGTCAGTGAGATGCTTCCAACGGTGAGATTCATCACCTTGAGCTTCAAAAATCGCTTGTTCACGTTCTGAAAGAGTTCTGACACTATGGACAGAAGCGCGATAGAGAATGTTGCCCAAGATGACCCACACGATCTGGCGTCGGTCTTGTTCATCTTGACCAGCCACCAGTTCATGGAAAACAACTCGGCCAGGACCAACCCAACGAGGTCGAGTGGTGTGACGATGTCCTCCCTTGCGACCCTTGTAGAGAGTGTGGGGAAGAAACTTCCTCCAAATCATCACTGGTTTTTGCCATGCTGAAGGTTCGAACAGGCTGTCGGATCGAGGTGTTCCGCAGCTTGGACATCATCAGGGATGCCTTGGCTCTGCGTGCATGTTCTTCAGCCACTTGTCGTTGAGTCAGAAGTTGTAGAAATTGATCTTGCTGACGCTCCACTGGAAGTGAAAGTTGTTGCCTCAACTCATCGTCACCAAGTGTGGCTTGATGACCAAAGGCCCATTGGATGCTACTGTATCCTTGAACAAACTCTGTTGAGTTCAAGGCAGCAGTCGCCAAAGCAATGGCATGTCCAGGCTCCATGTCGGGAGTTGATTTGTGAATCCTTGAGGCAGCTTCTTTCAAGTGGCCAATGTTTCGTTCGACCACTCCATGTGCCCAACTTTCGTTGTCAGGTGGAGGCATCACAGCAATGCCAAGATCAGCCATCAGTTCGATGACTTGTTGAGAAATCAAGGTGTTGGCATTGTCAGGGATCAAAATCTTCGGTCGTGGCTTGTCCATAAGCCAGCGGCTGATGAGGCACTTAATAACGTCATTGGAGGTTTCCACATAGGTCTCTCCAAAGGCGTAGGAGGCCAAAACTTCCGTCACACGATAGTGTGTTGCCATGTCCATCAGGAGGATGAATTTAACCTTGAGGTTCTGTGTTGGAACCTCCCACTCGCCAATGTCGATTCCAAGGTGTTCCCAAGCCTGTGGCAGTGGACGCAAGGAAATAGGGGGAACTTGCTTCGAAGACTTCCCACCAGGTTTCTGCTCCTCACAAATGGCACATCGGTACTTCAGGGCTTCCTTCACCTTCCATTTTTCTACTTGGGCATCAGTCAACATCCGCGCCAAATTTCTTGACGTCGGGTGACCAGCCGCACGGTGGAACTTTGAGAGCTGCGCTTTCCACCTGGTCAACATTTGAGGTGTCACATCTTTGTAATCCTCATCCTCAGTTGTTTTGATCTCCTCAGCATGTCCAGGTAGATCAGCATCAGGTTGGTCTCTTTCTCGCTCCTCAGCCTCAGAAGGTAGGTCTCCGCAAGGAGGTAGAACTTCTGCAGGATGTAGCCAGCCCTCGGACTCCGTGTAGATCTCGTTCTGGATGTAGAGAGCCTCACAAAAAGGATCCACTCCTTCCACGGGGGCTGTCCACAGCATCCTTGTCCATCGAGCAGGCATCAAGAGAGAGCGCCAGCACCTTGCAATGCTCTGGCACATTTGAACTGGATAGTAGGCACTTCGATTGGTTTCCACACCAGCTATCCATTCGTGCTGATGATTGTTCAGACAGCACTTCAATCTGAAGCGGTTGTAAAACTCTTGACTCGAAGTGACCACCTTCCAAGACTTTTTGATGAAGTTGCCATGCGCCGATTTGAGACCAAACCGGCATCCATCGATGCGACATTCCCAAAGTTCGCCATAGAGTGCTTGGAACTTCTGCATGAAGGACTGCACCACAGCCTCTCGCCAGCCACGACATCTCAAAGGCCATTCCCAGTAGATCTCGACACCCTTGGACGCAAGGAAGAGCATGAAGTCCGTCATCTGACGAAGCATTTTGCGCTCTCTGCGCTGGTATTTTGCCAAGACCTCTGGTCGATGTTTGTAGTTCAAGTCAACCCAGTCGCAGTAGAAAGTGCATCTCGGGCTGAACCATGCCTTTGAAGGTGGCTTCTTGCGATAGAGCTTGTAGAGCTGGTTCCATGACTCCTCTTTGTAGAGGTCAAAACCATTCGCCAAGTTGATGCGAACAGCTTCCATGCCATTGAGAGAACATTGATGGGAGAGCTCAGAATCTGGGCTGCAAAAGACCTCCCAGACCACAGGTTTGTCGCCATAGACCGTCTCCGCAAGGACGTCGTTGAACTCATCATGGATGTAGTGCATGGTGTTCACCATCGCCTGACCTACTCGAAGAGGTAGAGGATGCACGTTCTTGGAGTCCTCCACATAGTCCATGTTCAGTTCAGAGCCAGGTTCTGGTTGTAGTCTGGCTCCATCTCGGCTTCGGACACAGGCACTGCGGTGTCCTGTGCAGCCCTGTGTTGGACTCGTTGCATCAGCTGATTGCGCTCCTCTGGGGTCAGCAGCTCCATGATCTCGTCGGCAGTGCGTTGTGGTGGTGACTGTTGAGGTGTCACCTGCTCCCAGCTTGTTGTTGATCTCGGTGGAGAAGTCGGCATCTCCGGGTGATATCCGCTTGGAACTCCGGAGCTTGGCTGGCCACGACCCGCCGTCATCATTGCCTGTTGACCCTTGATCACCTTCTTCTTTGCAGTCTCCAGCTGACGCTGATACTCCTCCAACAGCGTCGTCATCCTCTCTTCTGCCACCACCTTGTCGATCACCACTCTTACCAGGGCTTCTTCGGGAAGAGCTCCGCCTGGTAGAAGTTGTTGTAGTTCCTTCAAGGCCCTCAGCACCATCGCAGGGTTCGGTTGATGAGTGTCGGATGCTGGTGCTCCTTTCTTGGGGATGTACTCCATGCGCAAACCGCACACAGCGCAGTTTGTCCACTGACCCCATTTGTTGGACTGGGGTTTCGCCTTGGTGTGATTCCCCATGCAGGGCCATTGATGACTCTTGGCTCTTGGATCTCGAAGATCTGCGGTCACAGTCCTTTCGAAGTCCAGGTAGAGCTCCTTCTCCTCCTTGGTCTGCTTGGGCGCCATGGGATCGAGTAGACGAAGTTGACGTTTCGTGGGCTTTCGAGGTACTGCTACCCATTGACCCAGACTTGCGGTTCAAATCAAGCCTTCTGTTCCACAGCTTCTCAAACCAAGGTGAAGGAGTTGGACATGTTGAAGTCATTTGACATTCGAAAGACTGTTGATCGTTTGAACCTGTTTCATCGTTTTCCAAAATCAAAGGCCAATATTGATTCCAGCAAAGACTGTCGATCGACAAAGTGAAAAGTTCTGCAGAAAGTTGTTCATCAATTCCATCTCCCATAACAACGTTGATTGTGGGACTACCTTGACTGCAAATGTTTCCCTCTGTCAAAAACTGGACCACATCAACCATCAGGTGCTTCTTTGAGTTGCGGGGGAGATAGAAAGGTTTACCTTCAGGATGATTACCACACACTGCCATGCCGTCCGAAAAGTCAATGATGAGTCCATGAGAATCTATGAAGTCCATGCCAATCAAAACCGGTACCAACATGCTGTCGTTAAACCATGGCTCCTTGCTTTCTTCAGGATCAGGTAGAGCATATGCATGAAAAGTGTGTGATGACAAACTGGATTCCATTGAAATACGAAAAAGAGCTTTTCCCCACTTGCCGCTTCCATATCTGAAACGAGGGCACCTTTTTCCGTCGATGTGGATCTTCGCTGACTTGTCCTGCTTCAGCAAAGCGCTGACCAAATTCTTGATCGAAGATTCTGGTCCGGCAGAGCATGTGGCTCCGCTGTCCAACATTCCACAAGGCCCAGCGCTTGACTTGTTGTCAAGGGAGGCCAAAGAGATCTCAGCAGCCCTTGGTGGGGTTTCTGTGGCTGCTGCTTGAAGATCTAAGACCTCCTCCTTGAAGTCCAAGACATGGTACCCATAGGGCTCCTCATAGTCAGCGTAGTAGGCATTGACAACGCCAGTGTTCTTGGTCTTACTCTTGCCCTTGCCTTTCATGTTGTTTCCAAAACCCTTGCCCCTCATGTAGAAGAGCTCATCCATGAGGTGCATGTTCTTGCCGTACTTGCCCTTCGACTTGCCCTTGCCCTTCTGAAAAGCATAGAGCGAGTCATCCTCATAGTAGCCCATGTGATGCATGCGACCCTTGCCCTTTGGAGCTTGTCGATCAGGGCAATCTCGTGCATAGTGTCCAGGGTGGCCACAAATGTGGCAACCATCAGAAGAACCTTTGCCGGCAGCTTTTCCAAAGCCTCGGTCCTTCTTTGCCAACTGTGTCGACTTGTGAGCTTGGGCCCATGTCTGCTGAGCCATTGCATCATTCTCCTTCTTGGTGTCATCAGAAGGTTCAGGATCTGCGCCAGGTTCGTCAGCAGGCCATTCCTCATCATCCTCATGCCAGCCTGCATAGTTTGCCCAGCTATCCCAATCATCCCACCAAGAAGATTCGCCATACCAATCCTCATCCTCAGCCAGAGAGAAAAGTTGGGGGCCACGTTGAAGAGCTTGATGTTGATGGCCACCACGTTGAAATTGGATCTGGTCGTCATAGAGGATGGTCAAAGCCACGCTCACACTCTCGTAGTCCAACTTGTTGTTTGTGGATGCCAAAACAGCACGCCACTCTTCTGCGCTAAGACAGGCTCCAGAGAGCAATCTCCAACCACGAAGCTGCTTCAGTATGAAGCTGTCGAAGGAACCCGAACCAGCCAAAGATGGAGGTGCTCGACGAGAAAAAGGTCGACTTCCATGAGGACTGTCGCCAGGTACTGAATCACCTCCTCGGGGTCCACGATGTTGTGAAGGCTCCTCCGTAGGAACACGCTTGTAGCTCCCCTTGGCATCAGAAGTCTTACTCTCAGATGCTTTGCTTTTGCGACTCTTCTTGTCATCATCGTCATCATCTTTGCCGTCCTCATCAGAAGACGAAGAAGACTCGCTGAAGTCAAAGACATCCTTCATCGTTCCACCTTGTTGTTCATCTTTCAAAGCCAACAGGGACTCGACGAACTCCTCGTAGTAAAGGCTCTCACGAACCAAGAAGTTGGCAATGGACTCCTGCGGGTAGCGCTTGTACTGGAAGTACTGGTTGAGAATGGCACTGGTGTTGGGCAAGTTTTTACGGACCAAAGGAGATGCAGCCAAACGCTTCAGCAAGGTCTGCACTCCGCTCTTGCCCTTGAAGTCGATCTGGTTCCAAGACATCGCCAACAACCTTGCCGGCCCAGTCAGTTTGGCTATGAGCCTTGGAGCCAAGAAAGCTCTGTTGGACTTTTTGGTCCCCAACACGTACCACATCACTTCTCTAGAGTACCTTCTCCAGCCTCTCGCATTGCCATCCCAGGCTGGGATCGCATCAGGCATCTGCCGTGCAGCTTCAGCCATTGTAGAAGGTCAAGTCCAAAAGGATCAAATTGAAAAAGCCCAGCAAGTAGTGACTTGCCAGTAGAGGATGTTCAGAAGGAGTTTGTAGAGCTCCGCAATCACCAGGTAGGCGTCCAGCAAAAAGTCCCAAAAGACGCTGTAGACACCGTCAAGGAAAAAGAAAGATTCAAGTTCAGGTCCAGGAATCCAATCGATCCCAAAACCAAGCCGCACCACGAAGGCCAGCTGCTAGGAAAAAGGAAGTGATCTCAGCGACCACTAGGCTCAGGCCGAGCCTCTGTCGAACCTGCTGAGCTGTTGCCTGTGATTGGCCAGCCCAGGTATCGGGGCGTCAAAGATCCCGGTTCCGGTTCAGGTTCAGGCTCGGGTAGATCAGGTCGAGGACCACGTCGAGCTCGGCCAGCAGGAGGACGTAGAGCAGGAGGTTGCCGGTCGCGGCTTCGAGAACGTCCTCGAGGTTCAGGATCGAGCCAAACACCGCGAGGTCGATGATCCTCCGCCGTCTCGTCCAAGAGCTGGTAGTAGACGAAGTCCTTGCCCCGGCTCAACCTGCTCCGCTACCAGTGTGGTAGCAGCAGGGCCAACGGGGTGCGTATGTCCACCTAGTTATATTCCAACAAGTAGTCCAAGTAGCCACACACAGTGGCACAGCAAAGCAGCGCCGCAATGGCACCTATTTCACAAGACTGACCTGCCAGGGGCTCAAGGCCTAGACGGCAGCAGGAATGTACCTGACATGGTGAAAAGGAAATAAAGGGTAAACTGGTCAACTCATGATGCCACCGTTGCAGGCCCCCAAGATATGTTTGTTGGTTTAACAAAAGCCCCAGTAACTAGTTCGTTATAAATACCGTAAACCATAGTGACATTGGAGCTTTTTGAACCAACTGAACGCTATCTTGGGGGCCTCACATTGTAAGATTGGGGTATGAGACTATATATATATGTATATATATATATATATATTGTGAATCTAATCCCCGATTAGAAGTCCAATTTAGGATTCCCCTGAACCTCTGTGACTGCGAAACCCTGTTTTCGCTTGCCAAGTGACAACCTCCCTCCCGCCCGTCTGCGGACGGATATGCGGCGGCCGGCGACAGTAATGTCAATGGCCAAAACTGGAACATTGGAACCCTGTGGACATGTTGATGCACAAGAGGAACATATGACATTCATGTTGGAAAAATCACACTCGTCAAAAATCAAACAAAACAACAAAACAACAACAAAGCAAACAAAACTTCAAACCAAAATCAACAACTGTCTCTTAAGTTCTATGGTCTGGATTCAGTTGTTTTTCCTTCAGAGTCCACATTGTCAGTGTTCCGCACTGACGAGCTCCCTTCAGAGACCCATTTCAGTCTTGACCTTTTGTCAGCTCTTTCTTGTAAGACTTTATTTTCGTCGAACAAGGCGTATCGCCCAAGTTGCAGTGCCCGTCGGAGGACTTCTCCATCCATACTTTTGGTAAGACAATCGGCCAGCATAGCTTTGCTATTGATCCAACGGAGTCTGCAATTTTCCTCGAGGCGTTCACGGATGAGTAAGCACTCCAGGGTGGTCCTGTACTCTGAACAGGCTGGTGTTGAAGTCTTCGTTGAAAGGTCATATACTGACTTACAATCAGTAGCTACCACGGCCTGAGGTGCCTCAGCTAATACCTGAGTTGGATTGGACCAGTCCACACCTGGGTTTTTCATCCATTCCCAAAATATACGCAGCCAACTTAAACGGTCAAGTGCTGCACCCAATGCCACAGCCTCAGCACTGAGTGTGCTTCGCACAACCCTTGGGATCTTTCTTGATGACCATGCCATCGGACAAATCACAGTGCGGTGATTATTCACCAGTTTCCCATCAGTTGCAAACACCAATGTCCCCTGTCTGGATGAGTTCCCTTTTCCAGAATCAAAAGATGCATCAGAAAATGCACAAAAAGTCACCTCAGATTCATGAATTGGTACAATCATGATGGAAACTGGTTTGGTTTTGGCCTCGTACAAGACACGGTTGGCCTGGATTAAATGTTCTATTCTACCATGAGGTATGGCGGCTTGAAGTTCACCAACCTTCGCTGAAAGGTCCGGTCTTGTATGTACAGAGGCGTATTGGATACTACCGCAAATTTGTCGGAGCATCTGTGTCTCCGTGGCTGATAGAGGCGCTTTCGGCTCCATTCGGCGACTTCGAGGGATCTCTATGGGTGATATCTTTTGTATGTAAGAGTTCTGCTCCATCTCAATGGACCCATCGTCCCACTGAAAATAACGAACACCACAAAACTCAAACTCCCCTTCATTGTAGGCCCCAAAACTATAAATGCCCTGAAGTTTTCCAATGATCTCCCTGAAATAAGAATCACCCCCACCGATCCCATCATCGACGTGAAGACCTAGGCAACCCCGAACTTTTGGTCTGCCTTGACGATCGTGTGTCACCAAACTGACAACACATCCGTCAAAAGGACATACCACAAAGCCTAAGGACTCCAAGGTTTGTTTCAAAGTCCGATACCACAAAATTGGAGCGTCAGCTCTGCCGTATGCCCCTCCAACAAGACTGCATTGGTCCCCTGGCCTCATGCCAATGGCCTGTTGCAATTCCGGAGGTGCATGCAATCCAAGCTTTCTGCCATCTCCTTCGCCCTTGAGAAATGCTGTGGCAATGTCGAAGTTAATCAACTTCCAGCCCCGGCTTGCTACCTGCTGCAATACCAACTGTTTCCCATCCTTACTTAAGGTTGGGGCGTCTGCTGAGATTGTGGCCAGCTGTGGATCTTCAAATCCAAGAACTACAAGACGTGCTTTTGCACGTTTTTCTGTACAGCCCGGCAGTGGAGGTTTCCAAGAGAGGATCCATCGGCATCTCATGATTTGATCATCACGGAGTGTTCCCCGTGATACTCTTTTTACAGTACCATGATCCACCCATGCACCTATCTCCTTGGCCTTTGCCTTTTGAAACAGGTCCCTCTCTTTTTCATTTAAATTCTTCCATTGTATTTCTACTCTCTGCTTGCGAGCGCCAGTTGCCAAATTGGCCCACTCCAAAATCTCCGGGCTTTCACACAAGCAGATGTGTTCACACTCATGTTCCGGTCCATTCTCAAAACTCAGTTCCCAAACCCCACTATCCCCACCTATTACTGGGAGATCATCCCCAAACAGCAAATCCCCATCATCCTCATCTGGGATAGGAACCTCAACAGGTAAATCAAAATCAACATTTTGGGGTTCTTCTGGGACCATGGGATTTTCGGAATCATCTAATATGGACGGAACTGGAGAAATGGAAGATTGATGGTCAGACGGAAAATTCTCACCCTCCGGTTGGCTGGGCAGTTCACTCAGACTGGCACTAATCTGCGGTTGATTTGGCTCAGGCATCTCATCGCATGGCCCATCATCCGGAATGCCCTCCAGTGGAACATAGTTCTTGCAGCTTCGGATGACCTCATCCACAATCCTGCCGCCAGAATCACGACGCAGGGCCAAGTGCTCTCGCATTGAAGCTGGACGCAGCTGCTGCGGGCTTGCACGAATTAAATACCCGCCGTGGCTGATCCAGACTACTTTAGAATTTTCAATAGTAATGATTTGTCCTGGGCCGTGCCATCTTCCCCGTTCCCCTTTTTGGTTCCCCTTATTCTGTCTCCAATACAACACCCAATCCCCCTTATCAAACCAATTTGGGTCCTTTCGGGTTCTTCTTAATAGGGCACGCCTCAGAGCACTACTGTTGTCGGCAGTTAAGAAGGCCTTTCTGGCCATCTCTCTGCGTCTGAGACTGTCTCGAAACTCAATGCCCTCAGGTGATGCTGACTCGGCCAAACTGTGAGCAGTTGCATCGGGATCAGACATCAGTGATGCAGGAATAGACCGTGACTTCCCCATTACCGCTTGCTCGGGGGTAAATCCTCCTACACTACTCAATGAATTCTTCGCAGCAAACACCTGACGGAGGCATCGTTGGAAGTCGTCGGGCGTGCAGATTGGCTCTTCTATGTCCATTGATGTCAGCATTTGCTTGACCACTCTGCCGTGTGCCTCTGCCCTGCCCAATTGCCAGTGACTTTCACCAGCTGTGACAGACAATTTGATTCCTTCCTTTTGAAGGAATTCATGCCAGCCATCATTGACGTATTCTCCAGCAGGATCTAAGTACAACAGTTTACACGGACCAGCCCAATGCAACCACGTACTCTCAAATGTCTCAACCTGCTCCCCAACCGTACGGCCACTTGGTCTCCCCAAATGATACATTGTTGCCTCATCAATAAAATGCATAAAGTGGAACTTGCGACCCTGCCTGTTTGTCCAGTATGCCCCATCAGCACCAACTACGTCATTAAAATCCCTGGCAACATGGATAGTTGATGGATTCGGAAGCCGGGGCTTTGCCTGGGACTCAATGCAGGAATCGCATTGATAGTCATGTGCTGCCCTCACGACAGCTTCACTTGCACCCTGTTCAAGCAACATTCGACTCAGTTTTTCGGGAGATGGATGTCCTAGATTTGAATGGATCCTCCGAAGGTCGGCCTTCTGAGAACTCTCCAATGATTCAAAGGCTGGTCCACTCTGAGGAATGATCTTAGGGGGCCATGCGCTTACACCGGCCTCACCTCCCTCCGGAGGATAAGATTCAGAACCCCCTTCCCCATCCCCTTCAGGGTTCATCAACTCATCCTCTACAACTTCCCCGGTACCAGCCTTCTGGGTTTGTGGGCTCCCATCGTCATCTTTTGGGGGTTGAGGAGGTTCTGATTGTAATCCCCTTTGATTTGAGTCGGACATTACCCCAAACAGTGAAATTGACATTCGTGCTGAGCCAGCCTTGCGGGTTTGTTGAAGTTTTGGGAGATTCTTCCAATTTTCAGGGGGCCCCTTATCTATGATTTCCCCACTACTTCGATCAACCAAAATTGTCTTCCTCCATGGCATTTCTTCCCCTCTAGCATAGGCTCCTGGCACTCAATCGTTCGGTTCCACGACACATCAGAATAAGTCGGATGTCCATCTCTGGAACCATCATTTGAAATTGAGGGAACATATGATCCCCTGGTCTCATGGCGAGGTTGCCAACCCGAGGGATGTCGGAGTTACACCGTTGAATGATTTTTGACCAGGTGGGACTCCGACCATACAGTTGAAATTCGTGCTTCAAATCAAGTGATCGTGGTGGCCTCTTAATTCCATAGCGTTGTCGCTTTGGACTTGCTGAGTCGTCTGGTGCCATTTCTGGTCGATCATGTTCTTCAGATAAAGCAAAAATTTCAGACATGACTGGGTTTTCTCGGATTTGGCATTCCTCCAAGACAAGTTTGGCTATTCGTGATCCAAAAATTGGTGTATATGCTGCGGCATATGCTGAAACATTTGTCCTCTTCCCCTGATATTTCATGGATCCCTGTATGGTAGCATGAACATGGTTGCCCTCACATCGTTTGTCATGCAAATGATGATAGACATAACCACTCGTTGTTCGAACCTTAGTCCGTTTCCTTACGAATCGTTCTTGATGGGGGAGTCTAAGTTTGCCCAGCCTACACATATCGAAACATGCCTCGTATGTGCCTGACACCAGTTCTTGCATCTCCACTTGTTGGGTCATACATGATTCTGCAGGTTGTTCCAAGTGCGCATGTCTTTTGTGGGAAACTTGATGAAGATAAATCTCATTGCATAGCCATAATTGACCACGGTTTTCATGACGTTCCTGGGTGATCTTTTCAAATGCCTTTATTCCCTTGGACATGTTCAAATTCGCAAATTTCCCATACAACCTGCACTCGGGGGCCAACCACACATGTCTTGGTTCATACATATAGATCCACAGCCAAAGTTTCTGGATGCCCTCTTCGGTACTTAAGTCCCCATCATCCCGAGTAAAACGCATGGCCCTTCCCCCATGTCTAAGCACTTGTTGGGTGATTTGGGAACCCTCTTCACAATACACCTCAAGGATATCCAGTGGCCGACTTTTCTGTGAATTGGATTTGGACTGCGTGACCATATTGGAAGAACATCCCCTTAAACCATCCAAAATAAACTTAGTGGGAAGCTTTGACAAACCGCCTTCTACTTCCATGATCTGTTCTTGAATAGCTTGGTGAATTTCTCCTTCCTGGTCAACCGATATCGATGAAATTGGTTCGTCACTCTGAATGAATTGAACGGTGGCCTCAATCATTTCTGTGTCTTCTCGTCGCTGCTGTCGTCGGGGATCTTGAGCTCGTTGGCCAACTCTCTCTCGAGAATGGCTATCTGGGTCCGCAGCTTCTGAATCTTCTCGGGGTCGGCCTCGGTACTCATACGATTGGACGAAGCTGTGGTGCTTCCCCGTTTGTTCACTCGACCCTGACTCGATGCCACCTGATTGGACTTCTCGACTTCGATCCACTTGCCCACGGTTGTCGATGGTCGGGTTTGATTCATGGCCTCCTTGACTTTGGTGATGGGCTTGGCTGCCTTGTTTGGCTGTGGACTCTGGGCCATCACGGGTTCGGCGATCACCTGTGTGGACGACATCGCAGTCTCGTCGGGCCTCATGTGTTGAACCATTCTGCAGTACATCTGAAAACTGCGCAGCCAGCTTGAGACTGCTCGACGATTCCACACCTGGTGACGGTAGCCCAAGTCCTGATGGGCCTCCGAGAAGGTCTTTCCTGCATGCTTTCCGGACGGGATCTTCAACTGACCCCACTGGCGGAGTGAGGCAATGTCCGGAGGTCGCGTGAGCGTCTCCGGAACTGACTCTGGGAACTGGTGACTTCCCCTTAGGTTCGGATCTACCTCGACCGTCAAGGCCTCGTCGAGGTAACCCTGGCTGTGACTCATGGCTAGTGTCAAAATTTTCTTTTCCTGAAAATTCGGGGGCTTGAGGGTTAATGGCAACATCATTGCAATTCCCTTGAACTTGCAAACTTTGGACGTTCCCACCTTCAACACTTTCCTGTACATGGTTCATGTCATCACAAGGCAAAAACTTTTCCGGTTTCGGATCATGATTCTTCTGGGGATTTTCCTGGGTTCCCTTTTGAACATGGGTGTTATTAATGGGACCCCTTACTCCCACATCCTTTCCCTTTGGTGGATCCCCTTCCAGTCCTGTCCAGTCCATGTGTGTCACACTCGAAACATGTTGGGTATGATGGATTTCATGAGGCTCATGATTTTCGTGTTCGTTCTCAAGTTCCAAGTTCAACACCTTTGAAAAATCAACACACATCAGATTCTTTCGACATGTGCCTAGGGGAATGCTTCCTCGAAACCCTTTGAACCACACATGTTTCTCATGAGTATCAATGACAGCTCGTAATGACCTAAGAACTGAGTTTGACAGCAAAAATGGTGTTCGACCCGGCACAACTTCAATTCTGATCCAACCTCCAGTTTTCCGTGGGAAAAACACTGCAAAGGTACTTTGCAACGTTCCGGAGTTGCCAAAACGAAATGTGACACTGGATGGAGCCCTTTTGATTTCCCCTCCAACACCACATGACTTGATCAAACCCTCCAGGCGCTGAGATCCAATGACAGCACGACTGGCTCCAGTGTCCAGGATGGCTTCATAGCACTCCTCTTCAATTTGGAAAACTTCAGTGAATTTTTCACTGACGGGTGGATCCGGCTCACCATTCACATCGGTGTGCCATGAATTGAACGACTCATTGCATCGCTGAGACTCACTTGTGCACGTGGCCACCACTTGGATTCCATGCTTCCTACAGCAGGACATGAGTTTGTTTTGGAGCATTCCAGTGAAATCCTTGGTACCCATGTCATGTTCCCCAAAACAACCAAAACAGTCAAACACCCCTTCATGACTTGTTTGAGTCCCATGTCCTTTTTGAACCCCGGTCTCCTGCCATGACGTAGCATCATCGGGAAGCTGATCGACGACCTCGATCATGTTCAACTCTTCCATGGTATCCTTCTCGACCATCATATTGATCGTCTCAGCCTTGCGACCTTCGGCTCGTTGAGGACACTCTCTCTTCCAGTGGCCAGGCTGTCCGCAAATTCTGCAAGTCGAATTCGCTATCCTGTCGGCCAACGACCTTCTCTTGCCGGCCATCGAGAAGGTGTTGACTCCACCACCAGCGCCCTTGCCCTTCTTGAGCCCCTTCTTGCCGCGGCCCTTGACAGGCCAGAAGCCCCTGGCTCGGGCCCGTTCCCGGACTCTCGCCCGTGCCTCTTGGTATGACACAAAGATGGCTGCTAGTTCTGGACTGTCCTGAACTGCTTCCACCACCTGGTCTTCGAAGTCGCTCATGAAGACGGCGTCCTCGTCCCCTTGTTCGGCCATCAGCTGAAAGATCCCCTCCTCGTCGATGTCCATGGCCTCCCCATCGTGAGATGAGAAGTTCACAGGTTCCTCATCCTCAGCAGCATAGGCATCATATGTCTTCTTGCCCTGAGCGTTGCGATTGCCCTGCAAGTCCTGAAAGAACCGTGATCCCAGGAGACGAAGGCTCTTCCGAGCTGAGTCATAGGTTAGCTGGCCACCATTGTCCATGATGATCTTCTTCCGATCCTCAGAGCTAAGTGCGGACTGTCTGATCAGCACGTATGCCCTCACATCATTGATCGAGATTGATTTCGCCAAGAGATCCTCAAAGGCAATGTCATGGCGAGCAAGGTAAGAATCATTTGTTTCATCCTGCTTTTGGGCCACCATGTACAATGCCCTCTCGAACAGATCGTATCGATCCTCAGTGTCTGTCTTTCCCCATTGGCCACCCAGTGCTTCTATGAGGTGTTGGACACCATCGACGGATCGAAGCTTGGTCGGGTCAACCCGGGCAATCTTCTGGAAAGCTGCCCCTTCAATCAATAGGGCAGCTCGAGGAGCAAGGTGCTCCAGGTGTTCCTGGGGCCAAATCTGCCTGAGGAACTGCATCTTCTGGCTATATACTCGGAGATCAGTATGTGTAGGGTCGAACTTTGGAATCTGCCCCCATGGAAGTGAACTCGGTGGGAAACTTGAAGCCGAAGTTGGATCGGTCACTGCTTCCGCTGACCCGGACATGGCTCGCACCGACTGGAAACGGTGTGCAGTCTAGTGCCTGCTAGACCTGATTTTGCTGATGAGACCCTGCCTCAACCTCCTAGGACCTTCCTAGATAGATAGAGCACTCCTACAGCGGCAGCCCAGTGCTCCGCTACCAATGTGAATCTAATCCCCGATTAGAAGTCCAATTTAGGATTCCCCTGAACCTCTGTGACTGCGAAACCCTGTTTTCGCTTGCCAAGTGACAACCTCCCTCCCGCCCGTCTGCGGACGGATATGCGGCGGCCGGCGACAGTAATGTCAATGGCCAAAACTGGAACATGGGAACCCTGTGGACATGTTGATGCACAAGAGGAACATATGACATTCATGTTGGAAAAATCACAATATATATATATGTATATATATATATATATATACGCATATCTGGGTAAATTATAACAGCCTCACTGCGCGACCGAACCCTGGAATCATGGTTAGTAAGGGAAATCATCCCCTTTTATGGCCGAACTATTCAGGTTAGTGAAATATTATTATTTACCTCTATATATATATTATACCATATTATATATATGATATATGATATATGATATATGATATATGATATATATATATATTTATAGGAAAGAACGAGGAGCCAGCTATATAATATGGATTTGTATTGGATATAATTTGGATATATAAATATAATATATATATATACATTTGTATGTTATGTCATGTTATGTTTTGTTTTGTTATGTATGTATGTATGTATGTATGGGATACATATGGATAACAAAATGATGTGGGGTCATGTGGATGGAGTTGGAGTGGTTTGCCCTCTGAATTTTCAGACACACAAAAAATGCATGTGTATGCATATCTATACATGGTTTGCTATCCTGCTCAAGTTCAGTTCTTATTGAAACTGAAAACTTCACCCAAGTTGTTTTGTATGGTTTTGCGGACAATCCCCAGAAAGGAATAAACTTTTTAAAAGGAATGGGGATGTGCCAAAGCACTGGTTGATTTTCATAGACATTCTCGCTTCATGGATTATATATGATAATGCCAATGCATAAGGATAGTAGAACTCCCTATAGGCAGCAACTATTTTTTCTTTTTGAAACAACCCAATCATGTTTCATGTGTTGTTTGCTCTGTAAAATTGAGATTGCACCACTTTGACAATTTGTTTTGGCCTCCAAGAGCATCACACGAATATCATCAATAGTATGCTGTTTACGTCCCCTATATTGAACATGGCTTACCCTTTTTGGATTTTGCGTTGTATAAGAATAAAATGCAGGGGTGTAGATCTGGCAAAAAACTTGAAACTTTCAACACTGTCCCAGTTTAAGGTATATTTTACGTGTGAGCCATTGGCGATATTTTTGGAATTGTAAACCCTCACGAGGCTAGCTATTGTACTGCTAATTTTAGTTCATATACAATCATATTTCCATTGCTATTCAAAATTGCACTTGGTACCCATCATCGTTGATAATATATCCAATCACTCCATAAAATCCTCAAGTATCCAGTCGCCATCCAAAATCCCAAGGAAATCCCATGGAAATCCCATGGAAATCATCAGAGAATTGGATTTTCCATGGATTTTCCGTGGATTTCCGGAGCATCTTCCGTTGGAACACGACTCATGGCCAGGCGTGGAGTGGTTCGGCACCTCCTCCGTGCGCCTCTTCCGCGGCAACGACGCGGTGAACGGCGTGGAGCTGGAGGATGGCGAGGCAGGTTTCTGTACAATGTGAGGCCCCCGTTCGATAGCGTTCAGTTGGTGCAAATAACTCCAATGTCACTATGGTTTATGGTATGCAAATAACTATAGTTACTGGGGCGAATCTAAACCAACTTATATCTTGGGGGCCTCGGATTGTAGGTTTTTAGAGTTTTTTTGTTGATTCTATGTTTTTGGTTGCTAGTATGATGATGATGATGATCATTATTATTTTGCAAGTGTTTTTTCATGATTTAACGTTGTGTTGTTTCATGATTGTTTATGATTAATAATTTCACACGATTTGTGAGCTTGAACAGGATTTTATGGGATTCTATAATTCATAGAGACCACCGTTTACGATATTTAAGTTGACACACTTCTAACTTGGTGAATTCTATGGTTTATGGAAGCTGGTTGGTGGGTGGTTTGGAACATTTTCTATTTTCCATATATTGGAAATAATCATCCCAACTGACTGCTATTTTTCAGAGGGGTTGAAACCACCAACCAGTATGGTTTATGGAAGATATAGGTAAAATTCGTTATATAATGGGATTTATAATCAACCAACACTAGGGGACGCCTTACCTTGTATGGGATTTCTGGCAGATTTGATGGTGATCTTTATGGCGGGTTTCAGGAAGATTCGATGGGATAAAATGTGTTTATGAGGGTCTTGTACAGGATGGGGTCCCCAAGATAGCTAAGTTGCCTTATAAGTGGCTGATTTCTATGGTTTATGGTAGATATAACGAACTACCGTAGATGGACGAATTATTCAAACCCTTATACATAGAGCAACCCCCCTCACCCCAAATATCAATGTTATTTTCTTGTTTGGTTCGTTCCTTCGAATGGACGAAATAAATCAAACCCCCAGAGCAGGAACAGCGCTACGAAACCATAACATTGAAATTCGGGGGAGGTAAGGGGTGGCATATAACTCATGGATAGGGGTTTGAATAATTTGTCCATCTACTGTAGTTAATGGAGGTTATATTGGTTTATAAACCAACTAACATCACTTGGGGGCCCCATCCTGTAGGAATTTGTGTAGGAATTTGGGATATGGGGAGTCAATTGGATCGATCGGATCTGCGATTTGCTGCTCATGAAATCATGGGATTTCATGGGATTTCATGGCTTTCACTGGTGATCTCATAGTGATTTCACTTGGTGTACCCTCTGGTAAACTAACATAGCTATTGAAAATGGCCATTTATAGTGGATTTTCCCATTAAAAATGGTGATTTTCCATAGCTATGTTAAATTACCAGAGGGTATCACCATTAAAACAATGGGAAACTCATTGGGATATCACCGGCCCTTACGTGCCAAGCACGTGGGCTTGAGATTTGGTGGATTCGATGGATCTTATAGGATGTTAGGTGGTGACTGGAACCATGGACTTTTATGACTTTCCATGCAGTTGGGATTCATGGATTATAGTGGTTTAATGGATTTTAATGGATTTTTCCATATATATATAGATTGGGAATAAACAGATCCCAACTGACGAACTCATATTTTTCAGAGGGGTAGGCATACCACCAACCAGTTGTAGGATGTTAGGTTATATAACTCAATAACAATAATAAATAATAATAACAATAATATACTAAATGGGGTGTACTGCAAAATTGTCATCGTAATGGCACAAGCATATGATGAACATATTTTGGGGTAGCCTATTGCCAGACAAACCATTAAATCATTAATCTCCAAATAAGATAAGAGAACATCACCAAACATTTGGTTTACCCTTGAAGTGCGTAAGTTTTTACATTTTTCAGGGAATATGCAGTAAACATTGCCCCCCATATTCTTGGGGACAGTGATATTCTTGGTCAACCTCCCTCCCATGCAGACACTTCCAGTTGTGGATGGGAGATTTTCAGGGTCTATCTTGGTTGGGGGGATGGTAAACCTGGCTGAATGTTTTTGCGACCTCACAGCGACATCAAAATGATGGGAGCTCCGTTGGGGCAACTACCCTCTGGTTATGTCAAAATAGCTATTGAAAATGGCCATTGAAATAGTGAGTTTACCCATTAAAACTGGTGATTTTCCATAGTTATGTAACAGTTTACCAGAGGGTATCCAAGCATTACCTTATGTCAGGGGGGTGAATTAGTTTTATGTCCGATCAAGATGATCAATATCAATACTCGTAAGACCACTGGTAGGACACATGTTATACAGGGATATCTGTGTTGGTACAGTGATATCAACATAGTGCCAATACATCCACAACATACAAGTTAATTTGGGGATTGACCAGTGAAAATGGTGATATTTCCAAAGAAACTGGGAAACATATTGATTTGGATGGTAGTTCTGAAAATGTGATATCGTGAATGTTTACGAAGACTAGTCTTTCTAGTGGCGATGTATCATCCTTAAAGGAATGGAGTCAGAATAGCCATGTTGATAGTCATTCTGGATGATGGTACTTGATCATACCACCATTGATATATCTAAAAATCTGGTTAAATTTCATCACGACCTCACGTCGCGACCGAACCCTGGAATAATGGTTAGTAAGGGGAATTATCCCAATATGTTCGTGAAATATATAATTTACCCATATATATATATACATACGTCTATATACGTCTATATAATCCATGCAACTAGAGATATTCTGGCGTACTAGATAATGTCACTAAGAACGGGGATGTGGTGTACACAACAGTCAATGGTGCTGGAATGTGCTGGATGCTGTTGGTCTGGATAAGCCTTGAGTGGATAGATTGGTCGACGAAAAATTTCGTTGCAATGTAAATGGAGGAATATACACATCAGACAAACATTGTGCTTTTTCGCAGGGCATCAAGGCTTAGTTATTCATTGGTTTTCATGGGGATTGTATTGGTTGCACAATATTCTCAGACTTGAGGGAAGTCTTGCAGGACCCTCAGAAAGTCACACATTGTTCCCCTTGACCAAGTGCTAGATTAGACCCAGAGAAGCTCCTCCAGAATTTTATTGATGATTTTGACATCTTGTGATGTCCACATATCTAAGTTTGCTAGTAAGCCAGTATGAATATCCACCATTTGCAGCCAATTTTCAACTTACGTTTGAGATGATAATCATCGCCATCCCCCTTTTTCACCTAGACCCTTTTCTACCACCCGACCTATTCAGGTGGACATCCTATTACCTAAGGTTTGGGATTTGTACCTGGAAGAAAACGGCACAAGTTTTGGCCAAAGGGGTGTTTTCTGGAGTTTGTTAAGTAACATCAATATGCTTATGTCAGCGGCCATTCTTGGGGTGCTATTTATTTTGCTATATATACTGGTTGGTGGTTTCAAACATTCTTTATTTTTTCCATAATATATGGGATAATCATCCCAACTGATTTTCATATTTTTCAGAGGGGTTGAAACCACCAACCAGCAGAAGATAATAGATGACCTCTGCCATTTATCCTTCTTGTTGGTCTTCTGAGCTCCTTGTTCTCCCAACCTTAGGGATTTTTCAAGATGGTATATATATATATAGATCATACAGATCAATACAGTCTATCTACTATAGGGATGGTGGATGCCAACGATTGGTTTCTTCAGGTGTTGCCTGCGGATGCTGTGGTGGTGGGTGCTGGAGTGCTGCCCAACACGCGTTTTGTGGAAGGCTTGTCCCTGGAATCTTGGACGATGGCTACACTCTGGTAAAAAATTAACGTATCAAAGGAGTTTAACCCTCTGGTAATTTAATACTGGTTTAATGGTGGTTTAATGGGATTTAACCAACAAAAATGGTGATTTTAATGGGATGTACCCTCTGGTAATGGCTGACATAGCTATTGAAAATGGCCATAGAAATAGTTGATTTACCCATACAAAATGGTGATTTACCCATTAGAAATATTGAAAATGGCCATAGAAATAGTTGATTTTCCCATAAAAAAATGGTGATTTTCCATAGCTATGTGAGTTTACCAGAGGCTACTTGGGGATCACCAACAAATGGAGCGCGTAGCCAGTGGTGAATGGAGGGAGCGAACGATTCGGAGCGAACTTGGGGTATCCATATTCCAAAATTGGAATTGGAGCTACAATCAGAGTATATCAGAGTTTCCCAACCACATTGATAGATGATATGATGGAATTTACCAAATATTTTTGGGGCTGCAGGTGCGGCTATTTTAGTAGCAGCCATGCGATGCATGGCAAACCTGCATGGGTCAAAATTCTAAGGACTCCAATAACTTTTCTTGGACGATGGGCCCTGATGGGTTTCTTTGAAACTAGGGGATACCGCATAAAAATTGGCTGGTTTCTGTTGGCAAAATGATGATCAACCGTCCCACTTTGTAGATGTTCCCCATCATTTTTTAGACAAGCCCGACATGGGGGTTTCTTATTCTGACAATAGATTCCATCCCATATCAATCCATGTATCTTACCTCAGGCATTTTTGTCAAGTGAAAAGACCGGTGTGATTTGAGGGTTATGAGCCCAAACAACGGTTCCTGTGACATCCGCAATGGAAACTGGTAGGGCACGTTCTTTGCCTCCTGGTCAAGATGGTTTGGGACATGTGATCAACCCATTCCATTCAGAGAAGACCCAATCCGAATATCTACTTCATGCTGCTCGCCCATCAAATCTGCCTGATGATTCTGGGATGGAACACCCTATTCGAGATACAACTGGTTTCGCCCCTCCAAGAGGTTTGACTTCTGAAGTTTCAACAGGGAAAGGTCGAGGTAGCCAAACGGCTGGTGTGATGCCGGTGGCCTTAGAGACCGTGATGCCTGGAACTGGATTGCAAACTGAGGGGAGGCTGCCGGGGGTTGAGAAGCTGGGTGACCCTGAAGTGTCTTTGCAGGGGAATGACTTGCAGCGGGCATTGGAAGTTGAGATGTTGGATTACCTACGGGGAGAAAATTCGAAGCTTGCCGATGAGGTAGCGTTTCTCAAAGGGCAACTGAAGTTGAAGTCTGTTGGAAATACAGCTTCTGGGGTAGCTTCTTCGCCATGGTCTGCCATTGATGGTTCGGGATCTTTGGGGAGTTTTGGAACTGCAAAGGTTTCTCCAATGAATCGACCTGGGCGCAATGGTAGTAGGACACCCCGAAACAAGAATCGAAATGATGCGGTTAGCCCCGAGAATGAAAAGATCAATGGATTTACACCTGGTGGTACGAAGGTTCCAGAAGGTCCACCGCCACCTGACCCAGTGATGCCTCCTGTGCCGCCAATTCCAATGGTTGCTGAGGGACATGGAGGTGATGCTCAGGTTTGTTCCAGCTTTGTCAGTGGGTTGTATGACACATGCGAGTCAAAACCACGGGGCAAACTGGGGGATTCACAGTGGAAACCTAGAGGTGACCCTGATGATGAAGGGGTTTTATCGGCCAGGGAGGCCAAACAAGTCTGGTTGGAGAGAGAAGTTCGATCCCTGAAGTTTGCTTTGGATAGGGTTGCAGTTCCAGCCCAATTGCAACAGTCGGGGTACTGGACTTCTGGTTTTGATGGACCCTCAACCAAACCACGGGGTCTGCCTGCAGCCGATTGCACTGCGCATGATCAGCTTCATGATCGGGCTTTGCACTTGCGTGAGCATGGAGGACATCTCGATCAAGCTCGGGCCTTGCATGCGTCTGAGCACGGAGGACATTTTGATCAAGCTCGGGCCTTGCATGCGTCTGAGCACGGAGGACACCTTGGTCGAGCTCGGGTCTTGCATGGTGAACACCTTGACCAAGTTCGGGCTTCTGACATGCATGGTGCTCATCTTGGAGAAGTTCGGGCTTCCGACATGCATGGTGCTCATCTTGGAGAAGTTCGGGCTTCCGACTTGCATGGTGCTCATCTTGGACACGATCGGGCTTTCGATGTGCATGGTGTTTTTCCTGAACGTGGTCGGGCTTCTGGCATGGATGTGGGAGCCAATGGACTACATCACAAAGATCCTCCAGGCTTTTGTCCCCTTCCGCGGCATGGTGTGGGGGGAGGTGGAGTTGGAGATGGAATGAGGCCAATCCAACACTGGCCAGAAAATGCGGGCACCACCATGAACACCAAGGGTGAGTTGCCGGAGCTGCCGGCCAGTTCAAGTCCATTGCAATTTGGCGATTGGCTTCACCTGATTGCTCCATCAATGAAGGACATCTCAAGTGTGGCAGGATGGTGGTGGGAGAACACGTTGAGGGAAGCGCAGTGCTACTACGCTCAGTGGAAGGAGAGTTCACCCCTTCAACGGATTCGCATCCAACCCACTTTGCCAGATGCCATCAAGGAGCATCAATTTCAAAGAACAGAGCAGCGTGGCATTCAGATGTTGTTGAAGGCCATACCGGAGACGGAGCAGCAGGCACTTGTCACAGAGCGTGCTTTGTCGACGACGGCAATCATCTACAGGTTGCTGATCCGATTTCAGCCGGGTGGAGCTGGAGAAAAGCAGATCCTGCTGCAGCAACTGACGACGATGCCCAAGGCAGCTGATGTGCAGGAACTGGCATCCAATCTGCGCAATTGGCGTCGCCATTTTGGGCGTGCACAAGAGGTCGAGGCGGTGTTGCCGGATGGGATCTTGCTCTTGAAGGCCCTTGACCAGCCGTTGCAACAGTTGGGAACTTTAGATCCTCAAGCTGCCTTTCGACTGAGTCAGAGCAGGATGCAACTTCAATTGGATCAACAGCCTTCTCACAACAACCTCTGGGCATTTAGCCAATGTTTGCTGGCCGAAGCAGAGACGCTTGCGTTGCTTCAGACCTCCACGGCAACTCCAACATCTACGCCGATCAAGATCAAGCAGTTGGAAGCTCCTGGAAAAACTTCGCCAGGTGACACCAAGTCCAAGCTCAGTCCGATGTCTGACAGACCCTGTCGCTTTTTCCAATCTGATGCAGGGTGCAAAGCTGGAAAGGCCTGTAAGTGGCAGCATAGCTGGGCAAGCGATGCAGACAAGGCTTCGAGGTGTTTTGTATGCGGCAGCAAAGAACACAGGAAGGTCGACTGCCCCGTGAAGGCCAACGGCAAGAAACCGGGTGAGCCTTTCGGCTCAGGGGGAGGAAATGGACAGGGACAAGGACGTGGAAGTGGGCCAACTTCTTCCTCTACAACGACTTCTGGGTCCAATGTGGGAGGAAAAGCAGGTGCAGCTGCCGCAAAAGTGATCAATGCTGCGGGTGGAAAAGCTGCAAATGAGAAAAAGGAGGAAGCCCAAGGGATACAAAAAGAAGGAGGTGGATCAACTGGATCAACTGATGGAACGTCCTCAACTATGACTGCGAATGATGGAAAGCCTAGTGGGGGGAGTGAGGTTGAATCCCATGCGACCAAGAACGACAAGACGGCTGAACTCCTTCATGAAGCAACTCAGTTGTTGAAAACGTTGAGAGTCCCTGCAGCGAATCCTCACCTCAAAGTCATGCAAATCGGAGGTCTTGATCAAGCTGGTGATGGAATGGTACTGTTGGATTCAGGAGCCACTCATGGCCTACGTCCTGCTCGAGATCAAGCTGAATGGGATGCTGCTGAACCAACACAAGTGCAGCTGGCCAATGGAAGCACGAGTGCATTCAGGCTGAAAAGGGGCACAAAAATCCTCTTGGGACATCCTACTGAAATGTCTTCTTGGATTGTTCCTATGGGCGCCCTCAATGATCTCGACTTCAAACTTGAATGGAGTGATGGACGTTGTCGACTTTATGATGATGAAGGTCGTGACATTCCTGTCACCGTGGTCAATGGATGTCCGATGATCACTATGGATGATGGTCGAAAGCTCTTGGAGTGGGCCGAGCTCTACTATGTCCACCAACGGCGAAAACTTGCAGTCGTCAAGACCCTCATGACAGATCCCTCGATGGTGGATGCAAGTCGCCTGGACACGGAAGTAGCGATGACCCTCAAGATGAGAGAGATCTTCCCGAACTTGCCAGAGGAGATCATGATGAAGCTCATACCGAGGCTTGAACAGCTGAAGGCCGAGAACTTTGGGACGAAAATCCCTTGGAACAGGCACAAGAGAAGGAGACTGCAAAGAGCCAAACACATAGTGTTGCACATCTTCTCAGGGCCAAATCAGAGCTACTGGGAAAAGCAGTGCTCCACCAACAATGTTGAGGTCTTGTGCGTGGACACCAATAGCTCTGTGCCGGCCAGCCTCTTGAACAAGGATGTCTTTGCCTACTTGCTGGCGTTGTGTGCATCGGGCCGTGTCAGGTCCATCATCGGTGGCCCTCCTTGCCGAACGATCAGTGCCCTCAGATACCAAGGAGATGATGGCCCGGGTGTCTTACGAACTGATGAACACCCCTATGGACTGCCGACCTTGGCACCGCGAGAGCACGAAATGGTCTTGGATGATGTGACGCTGATGTTCAGGTTTCTTGCACTCTACATCCTGGCGGAGGACATTAGAGATGGTGCTGCAGATCCTACCCAACTGGCTTTGGAACAACCTGAGGATCCTGCAAGGTATCGAGATGCCGAAGATGTCAAGGCAAAGGGCTACTTCTCCTTCTTTCGAACTCAAGAATGGAAAGATTTTGAAGCCCGGTACCACATCCGGCAGATTCACATGGACCAACATCCTATGGGTCACAAGAAACGCAAACCTACCACGATTGCAACCAACATTGCAGAGCTCTTCCAACTGGACGAACTTCGTGGAGGACCCAGTGATGAAGCTCGGACCAATGAGATCTTTCGAGCTACACCTGTCCAACAGCGGATACAAGAATCCAAAACCTGGTCAGCTTGGGCGGAGGGATTGAAGGCTGCGATTGCAACAGCTGTGACCAGGCATCTCCAACGACTTGAAGGCAAGGACAAGCAGACCAACAACCTTCACTGCGTCCGTTGAACCAGATCGCCTTGGAGTCCTGGAAGCAGCACTTCCTGAATGATCATCTTCCAGCCAGAAGAGATTGCCTGCACTGCGTTCGTGCCCAAGGACGCAGCAAAGCACATAGGCGCATCACCCATCCTGAGGCCTACACATTGTCCGTGGACTTGTCGGGCAAGATGACGACAGGCTTGGACCAGGAGAAGGGGAAGTGTCGCTACTTGATGGTGGCCTGCTATACTTTCCCTGTGATGAAAGATGGAAGACCTCTTCTTGATCCTCCAGGTGAATCAGATCAAGACCACGACTCACGACCATCCTTTGCCGTCGATGGACTTACACGGAAGGGTTGGTCATGCTGAAGTTCCTCTGCCGTCGATGGACTTATACGGAGGGGGGCAATCAGCAGAACCAAGTGGTCTAGCTGGTCATTCTCTGCCGTCGATGGACTTATGCGGAGGGGATGGCGCAGCGTTGAATGCTGAAGTTCCACATGAAGACGATGATGTTCTGATAGATGAGGGGGGAGACATGCCACCAGATCCAGAATCTGCAGAAGATCTACCAGAGCCGGCTGACCCTCTTCATGAAGAACCTCCACCACAACCTGGACCAGATGGCCCTCCAGAAGAATCTCTTCGAGGTGCTGACAAGGTGTGGCATCGTTTGGTCCAGGATGCAACCAATGTGAATGTCAAGAACTTGACCTTCGTGGAATTGCTGGAGTCAAGAGCGGTCAATCAGGTACTTCCAGCACTGGCCAGAATCCATGCTAGACTCCAGGCCCTGGGACTTCCGCTACTACGACTTCATTGTGACCGGGCCAGAGAACTGATTGCAGCGCCCATCAGAAGATGGACTTTGGATCGGGGAATCCTCACAACGCTCACATCAGGATCTTCCTTCAAAAGCAACGGCCGCGTGGAGGCGGAGGTGGGCAACACAAAGCGGGCCGTCAAGACCCTGATTTCTGCCAACTTGTGCCCACTACAACGGTGGCCACTTTGTGCTCGTCATGTTGGCGAACGACGACTCCGAAGCCAGCTCCAACGGTTGGGTTTTCCAACAGGGCCAATGCTGCGTTTTGGGAGCAAAGCATTTGCATTGCGCAAATCATGGCAGGAGAGGTACACCAATTGGCGTGACGCCAGGGAGGAGGTGATTGTCATGGGGCCTGATAAGTTTTCTTCTTTGACGACGACCAGCTACTATGTGCAATCCACCAAAACTGGCAACTTCTTCTACACCGATGATGTGGTGCAACCTCCATCTGATGCTCCTGTCGAGATTCCCGATGAGCAGACGGCCATCTACCTGGAGGAGCGTGGTGATCGAGCAGCTCAGCCACCATGGACTGGAATCCCAACTCGACGGTTGCGGAGCAAAACTGCAGTTCCAGCAATCCGGTCGATGATGAACATCGAGGGGGAGGCATGGGGCTTAGGCCTAAATGAAAGTTCAAATGGTGGGTTCCCATCAAATGCGGTTCCATCAAATGCGGTTGTAAATGGTTTTGAAGTTCCTGAATATCTTCAAAGTCATCTTGAAATGGATGGTGTTGAAAGTGAGGGATCTAGTTGGACCCTGGGCACGGATTCACTTCAAACATCGTCAGAAGCAAGCTCAAGGGCAGACACCCCGACGATGCAGTCTGATGAAGAAGAGCTCGGAGGAGGGGAGGAGGAGGAGGCGCCTAACAACCGGGACGGTGGCTCATGCCCGGTGGCCTCAGTTACAATGTCTGCGGCTGCGGCGATGCGAGCGATCCATGCCAATGTGGTTGACTACATCAGGGACGAGATGGGCCGATTAGACGCGACCACAGAGGATCAAGCCATGTGGATTGGAGCGATCACAGAGGCCATCTCGATGAGATCCCTGTTGGAAAATCAACTTCAACAGATCCAGCACAAGGCTATCCAAGCGGACTATGAGAAGTTGGATCAGGAGTTCTTGATCACACGGACCATTGGCAATGCTGAAGTTTGGGCCAATCTTGATGACTGGAAGCCATCGATCTGCGCTGAATATGAGCAGCTCATCAACAAGAAAAAGGCTGTCAAGCAGATCACCAAGGGCCAACTTCAAGAACTTGCTGGACAGAGCGGCCTCCCCATAGAGGTACTTCCTGGAAAGATGGTGCGCACGAGGAAGTCGGGGACGGGGGCGTTCAAAAGTCGAGCGGTGGTTTGTGGGAACTATGCAACCCCTGACCAAAATGAGCACTACGCAGGTGGTGTTGACAGTCAGCAAGTGCGAACTCAACTGCGAGTTGGGGCCAACAAACAGTGGGTGGTGGGAGGTACAGATATATCTACAGCCTTCTTGAACGCTCCCCGAAGAAACAACAAAAAATTGACCGCTATGGAGATCCCAGTTGTGTACAGAAAGCTTGGACTGGCCACCAGCGAGCACATCTGGCTGATCGACAAGGCGCTTTATGGCCTCACGTCGTCTCCCAGAGATTGGTCCTTGCATAGGGATGACGTCTTGCCGACGATCAAGTGGCAACGACAACGACAAGGCCGAACAGTGGATGGAGTCTTCAGAAAGACACCTGATCAAAACGTTTGGAGGATGGAAGAAGTTGACCACGAGTCAGGAACAATCCACTGGACAGGGCTGATGTCGGTCTATGTTGATGACCTGCTGTTCACGGCTGAGGAGGGATGTTTGGATGCAGCCACAACAGCTATTGCAGAGGTCTGGGCCATCTCAGAAGTCGAGAAGACGGGGGAGGGAAGAGTGGTGAAGTACTGTGGTTTTGAGATCGAAAGTGTGATGGATGATCAAGGCCAACCTGATGGATTTGTGGTGAGTCAGAAAAAATATGAACAGGAGATGATCCAAAGGTTTGAGATTGACAAGTCAACGGACTATCCACATGTTCGACTGACTGAGGAAGATGAAACTCCTCCTGACATCATCAGACCCGAGGATGTGAAGACTGCCCAATCCATGGCAGGTGCTCTTCTATGGCTTTCGACCAGAACACGACCTGACATAGCCATGACGGTGGCGGCCGCATGCCGATTAACCACCAAACATCCTTGCAGATCCATCGAAATCTCAAAGGCCATCATGCAGTACGTCCGTGGAGTACCAGGAGGTCTTCATTACCCAAAGGGGGCCCCAAAAGAAACCTGGGGAAAAAGAAATCAGCTCAAGCTGGAGCGGCATGAAAATCTGCTTGAGGTGTTTTCAGATATTTCCTTTGGAGTTGGAAGTCGCCACAAAAGTCTTCAAGGCCTCGTGGTGTGCTTGGGCGGTGTGCCGATTGCTTGGCTCGCGTCACAACAGCCATTCGTGACCTACAGCACTGCAGAAGCTGAATTGGTTTCGTATGGGGAGGCGCTGAATGCTGGCCGCTCGATGGAAGCTCTGATTACATCTATGGTGGGCGAAAGCATGGAAAAGAACAGCTTGGAGCGGGTGATCTATGGTGATAACCTAGCTGCAATCGGGATGGCGCATGGAACAGCTACATCCACGTGGCGAACCAGGCACTTGAGGGTGCGTGCATCGTTTCTGAAAGAAGCGCTGGACAGTGGAGCATGGAAGTTGCTGCACCTACGTGGCGAAGAACTGGTTGCTGACGGCCTCACTAAGCCATTGAGTGGTCAAGCTTTTGGAAGGTTCTTGGAGGACCTGGGCCTTTACAACCGTGATCACCAAAATGAGCCAATGGAAAGTGGTGGAAGAGGCGCGGCGATTGCAGCGCTGATGACAGGTGGACTTCTTCTGTCAGGACTGGACGCGGAGGAGGAACAGGAAGCCAACTCAGACACTCTATGGGTGTGTGGCGCAATGCTGATGATGCTGGGGGCAATCTATCTTGGACAGCTGACGTTTCAAGGTGTGCAGTGCTGTCTGAAGAGATTGCAGGTGCTGTTGCGCTCTGGATTGGGTAGTCCTGGAACTCTACGAGCTGAGTCCGAAACGGATGAGGAGCCATTGAATATGTCAAGACGGTCGGGCTCGCGTGGTGAGCGCTTCACGCGGGGCGCTACGTCAATGAGAATGCCATCACAATCGGGCTCGCAGGGTGAGCGATCTTTGCAGCATGGGGAGCGTTCTATCTCTGAACCGTGCTCTATGCCCTTGTCAACATCATCAAGCTCGGGCTTGCATGGTGCTGGACCAAGCTCTACATCAAATCAAACCTCTTCACAGTCGGGCTGTCGGCAGCGTGGTGCAGCAGCAGCAAGCGATCTTGCAGCTACTGGGTCTCTTTCAAGGCCGAACACTACGGCGCAGCGCTGGAATGATGAGGGGGGCGAATCGCCGATTTTTTCTGCAGGTGTGGACCGAAGTGTCGTAGCTCCAAAGGAGAGCACACCGCAAAATCCATGGAACAGATTTCAGAAAGATCACAAAGGAAAGGGACTTTCAAAGAAAACGATGTCCCAAATTTATCAATATGAAAAGACGAAGAAGTGATCTCAGTATAGGAATGCCTTGAGCCTAGTGGTGCCAAGGGGATGGCATCCTTTTTTGGTGCACGGGGAAAACCCGGTGCAATTGACACGTCAATTGGGGGGAGTCTGACAATAGATTCCATCCCATATCAATCCATGTATCTTACCTCAGGCATTTTTGTCAAGTGAAAAGACCGGTGTGATTTGAGGCTTATAAATAATTGGGGAACCCCAAAATGGATGGTTTTTATGGAAAATCCTATTCAAATGGATGATTTGGGGGTACCTCTGTTTTAGAACACCTCAAAATGATGCATGAAAGTTTGTGATGAACAGATATTTCAAGTCAACTCGCTGATGCCATGGCAAGACCTTTCTCAGATCAGAGTTCAACCTTACTTGGAGGTTGACCATGGCCCTTATGTTGTGGCATTGTGTTGGGGCTTAATGCATCACCTCTTTGTAGTTGAATATGACATAGGTACGAATAGAATACTTCTTGGGGCCCCAAACCACCGGTGATCTCGTCGGAATGTGTCGAAATTGTGTGTGTCTGATTAATATTGATAGTATGCCACCAAAATGGATCAAAAAAAGGCTGGTTTACCCTATGGTAAATAAACTTGTTGACCCTGAAAATGACCCATTTTTAGTGGTTTCGCTAATCTTCCAACCCCGATGACTGCCAGGGTCGAAGTGTTAATTTACTGGAGGGTCTGCCAGGGAACAGATCAACCAATGGATTTTTCAGGCTTCCCTTTTTCAGATGCAGCTGGGATGAGCAACATGCCATAAAACTCCTGGCAGTGAAAAATTCCCACAGAACACACAGATTTAAGTACTGTAGATGATTTCCAATTTTCAAGCCACGGTTTTGCATAATTCACACATATATATATATAAATATAAATAGGTATATATATAATATATATACACATATGTTATGTTTATTTCTAGCAGATCTCCCGGCTAGCCACGTTTGATGACACCGGAGCTTTTTTTTCTATCTTTTCAGGGCGCATGGAGAAAATCAACAGGAAAGCAGCCGTTGAATGCAAGGACAAGAACGGCGCCATCATCGTGAATCCCTTGTTGCAAGCAGCAACTTGGCTGAGTTCTGATTTCCTTGTTGGGTAGTCTTTCAGATTTTTGGGTGTAATATATATATATATATACACATGTGTTTGCGGGACATGGTGAGCTCTCGTTGGTGGTTCTCTCATATGTATGAAATCATACCTATGCCTGGATGGAAAATCCTCGTCTAGACTAGATGCTTTTCCCAGCAAGGGTTTTTCCAAACCTCCATTCAGAAACTGGGTATTTCCCTATGATTTTCCAAAATTTCCCAAATTGAAGGGTACACCATGTTTGATCCTCGGCTTTCCTAGGAGAACTGCGAGAACCTCTTCGCGGCCGGCGATGTCTGCGCCTACCCTGCGGTGAAGACCGGACAGCGCGTGCGGATCGAACACTGGGATGTTGCCATGCAACAGGGACGGGTGGCGGCCAACAATATGTTGGGCAACCTGACTGAAAAAGGTCTTGACGGTCAAGCCATGTTCACCCCAGGCCCGTTCACCTGTCAAAGCCGTTGTTTCATTGGGAAGAATTACAAGTATCTACAGTACATAGATGTCCTTTTCCCATTGGTTGATTAATAGGGGGTTTGTTTACCCCTTTAACCACAGGTTTGTTTGATGATAGATGGTATACCAGCTCCCGGCCCCTCTATTTTTACCAAAAGGACATTATTGCTGATAGTTATGATTCATTATTTTAAATATGATCATTAAATCAGGGACCATTATTGAACATTAACCATTAAATATCTATGAATATCTATGATTGATGATCTTTTTTTTTGGGTGTCGGTTTAATTTTGTGATCGTGTCGGTCGATCGGATTCATACCCCCTTGGGCGGGGGCGAAAAAAAGGGGACGATTTTTTCAATGGGAGACCTCCAGGGTCCTAAAACGGAGGTACGTTAGTACCATATAAGACCATATTTTATGGGGATATTCCCTTACATAGGCTTTACATAGGCCTTATATATGGTAGGTACCTCCAATTTAGGTTCCTAAAATGGCCATTGATTTTTTATTTGCAGACCATTACTGTTTTAGGGGTACTCCTAACTCACCGACCATGGTGAAAATTCGTCCGATGACAGGAGAGTCTTTCTGTAACAATGTAGGAATGCAGCTACCATTAATCATTAAACATACTGTGGATGGTTGTGAACGCCTGCACCAGTTGGTAGGTGGTGAAACTCTCGTTATAATCCCATTATCTGTTTCATGTTTCTTAAAGTCAGCCAAGAGGTACAAAAAAGGCTGCAGGATTTCACAACCATCCACAGCATGTATGAAACGTGTCTTGTTATGTGGGCTACCCACGAAATACATCCAGAAACGAATCAGATGTTCCAATTTTACATCAGCGAAAAAGGGGTATCCATTTTAAGAAACTTCCTAATATGCACTCGATGATGACCTTGTGTATCATTAGATGTTCAAGTTACCCTCTGGTAAACTAACATAACTATGGAAAATCACCATTTTTAATGGGAAAATCCACTATTTCTATGGTCATTTTCAATAGCTACGTTAAATTACCAGAGGGTACATCCCAAGGCAAGTTCCAGCCCTTCACCACGACGCCCTTCTTTTGGTCAGGACCTGGTGGATTTTGAATCAAACCTTGGGACTGGGGATGTTCAATGGATTGGTTTTGTTGGGAAAATTTTAACCGGAAACCAGTCAGATTTTCCCATGAAGAACATATGGGGCTTTCCGGTTAAAATTTTCCCTTAATCCAATCCATTGAGATGTTGTTTTTTTTTGAACACAGGAGTTTTTTTGTTTTGGTAAGAGAGGAGAACAGAGATTGATGATGGATGGTTCGGAACTGTAGCTTGGAATCCGGACCACACTTGAGATATCTCCGGGGATATACCGTGATATACTCTAGTTATAAACCACTAATGTGGGTAAAACAATCACAAACCACCCATTTGGGAATGGTTTATAGCACCTATTTATGGTGATGACTGGGGGATGGTTTATGGCATCATTTTACCCACATTAAATTAATCACTAATCCTAAATTCACTTCAAGCAAATTCAATCATGAGTGGGAATGTTCTTGCAAATATAAAAGTCAAAAACCAAGGCAAATCTAAACCTCCTACAAAACAAGTAGCCGATTAAAGTTGCTGAGAGACGATTTCTCTTGAGTTCAACTTCGCGGCAAGCGTTTCTTGCGGTTTCTTGCAGTGTTGGGTGTACTGAGACTCGCTAGCTGTCACATCTGAATTCCAATTTATAATATAGCACAGAAATACTTTATCTGGTTGGTGGTTTCAAGCATTTTTTATTTTCCATAATATATGGGATAATCCTTCCCATTGACTAATATTTTTCAAGATGGTTAAAACCACCAACCAGTTATCCTTTGGTAATCAAGCATGGCAACGGAAATCTCCCACATACATACATATATATATAATATCTATTTATAGATGATTTTTCCATTCGAAAAGGGTGTTTTCCATTGCCGGAGGCTTCAATTACCCCCTTCCTGCTTGTTGAATACACGAGTTGGTGCCCAGCAAGGGTCATATGGGGGTTTCTTAAGTCATGGGGGATCCCCAAGTCACCATGGGTTTCAATACTACATGGTCTGGATTCAGTCTGGATGATTTGGGGGTACACCCATGGATTGAAAACCTCCATTTATACTATATTTTCGCGGGTAGAATCTAATTTTTCTCAAGCATTCTTGTATGTTTCACCCTTTTCCTGGCAAGATGGCTTTAAGTCCCCCCATGTTTTTGGTCCAAAGTTATGGGTTTATAAACTTTTTTTTTTAATGAGCTTCCAAATGATACCCTCTGGTAATTTAACATAGCTATTGAAAATTGCCATTTATAGTGAGTTTTCCCATGAAAAATGGTGATTTTCCATAGCTATGTTAGTTTACCAGAGGGTAGCCGCTATGGTCATTATGTATCTTCGAATCTGGTTCACAACCGCCGAAAAATCAACTTGAGTTGGCCCTCAATAGAACAACTCCACAAATTGCCACGTTTCCATCGCCGCCAAATGGCGAGCCATCGGTGCGAGCCATTCCCACAAGGCCTTCAAGGTGGTGCCCTCCATTTATAAATTGGTTCATAATCACCATTAAGTCATAGTAAGTCTAGATATATCATGATATATCCATCATATCATCATAAACATCAAAAATGCCTAGTTATATCTCTATAGTTATAAAGTAAGTGAGCCAACTAAATCCCACAAAATCCCTTATTCAAATCCCACATGATCGGTTTCCGAGTAGATGACCATATATTTTCCCCATTCAAATCCCAGCAAAATCACAATTTTCTCATGGTTTTCCCATTGAAATGGCAAATTTTCTCCATTTTTCGGGGATTTCCCCATGATTTTCCCATGATCTTCCCATATCCCATTGTTTATAGGGGATTTTCCTCCAAATCCAAGCATCCAGGGCTCTTTGGCAACCTGAACTTACGCTTCGTGGGGCATGCACCTGAAGCCTTAGATCGTGTCATCATCGAAGGGGATGCCACTTGGAAATGGGACACAAAAATTTAGTGAAGATATATGGGACATACATATGGGATATATACATATATATTATAGATATGGGATATATGATATATGATATGTATATATATATATATACATATGAGGATATATGTATTAGGGATATATGTATTAGGGATATATATATATTAGGGATATATGTATTAGGGATATATGGTATATATATATATGTGTGTATGGGATTATATTGATTGTTTTTTTTTTTTAAAAATGGGATATATGATATTTATGGGATACATATATATATATATGTGCATATATATATAATTATATATATATATATATATATTAGGGACATCGATGCCTGCAAGTCAGCGAGTGAATGCTCCTTCAGCTGTGGAATGAAATGAAAACGAGACATATATATATATATACACATGTATGTATGTGTATATGTATATATTTATAATGAATATATGATATTTGGATATCCGTGGAAGATTCAAGTGGCAAACATTGGATACATATATACAGTATATCTATATGTGGGATATATCACTCACAATATGATATGATATTTGGGTGTGATAGCATATGAGTATAATGGGATGTATGGGAAAGACATGGAACATGATTAATAACGATGATGTATTATGGAATTGTATGGAATATGAATCGGATATTATATATATATGCACACGAGAGATGATCTTTGGGTGTGTCTGAAAAGGGAGGATAGGCCCAAATAGCTATTTCAGAAAAAGGGCAAATTATGTTTTCCCATTGGCTTTTTGGCATTTTGGGTACCCAATTCTTAGACAAACCTGTGTGGTTTTAAGTGTAATGACGGGGCCTCAGTATTACAATAATCAAAGGAAGTCTAGTTATCAAACTTCCGAGTTACGGACGAATCCCCGAACTTTCGATGGAGCTTTGCTGGGAAAATCATCGAAATCAATTTTAAATGGATCTGAATAGGGAAATGTACGTTGGACTTTGTTGTTATAGAGTATTACTAATCAATAATTTTTGGTTTATACTGTAATGGCAGAGCCCATTTTTCTTATTCACAAGTTGCTATACCTACTATGGATGTCTCTATGGATCAGAACTACAGGACTATAAAAATTGTATCATGGACTTAGCCCTTGTTATGAAAGATCCCCAAACAATGGGCTTGTGAACTGGATATAACTGTAAAACGTGTCATGATATAACATATTCGTACTAGTTCGCACTGGGATACTTCGATTCTGAGGTAACATCGATCTAAGTCCTTAATATTATTGATTCCCATTGATTTGAAATCCAAATCTATATACAAATCATGGTTTTTTGCAGGGGAAATCAACATGTGGGCGAGCCAGGAAATTGACCGGTGGCACCTGGCTAGGAAAAAAACGGGAAGGATTAACGAATGTATCAACGAATATAGACCCCCAAAGAAGTGGTCAGTTTACGTTGATCACTATTTTAGGATAGGATTTTCTAAGTTTCTATCTTTTTGGGGTTACTATAATATCAACTATAGGCATGGGTAATTTTCTCAGTTGCCACGTTAGGTTTGCAGCCGTGTTGTACACCCTGGCTTCACCATTGGCATTCAGGGGCCCCATGTATAAGTGGGGCCCCTTCTACGGACCCATTGTGGAAACCCCAAGGGACTAAAATCGTTCAACATCGTTTTGACCACCATCTTTAGTGATCTTTAGTAGTACGGACCCGTTGTTAGAAACTCATCTTTGGTAAAAATCGATGGCTAAAGATGGTTTGAGGCTACACACACATATATATATATATCGGTTTAATATATATATACACATATTTCTTTGGACATATAACAAGGCCCAACATATAAATATATAATTATATATATATATATATATATATCACATTTTACAAGGCCCAAAGACCCGTTTTTTTTGGCCACCTCAACTGTGATCCAGCCCAGCTGAGCTCCCAATGGCGCCACTGAACGGCCAACCCATAGAACTCTTTGGAGTTCAGCCATGTTTTGCACATGATTGTTTCTGCTTGATACTTTGATATACGTTGACTATCATTTATTTTGATTTTTAAAATATGTTTACTCAAACATATCATATTTTAACATGTCATAATAGGTTGGAATGGTTCCAACATGTTCCAATATATTTAAAATCATGTTGATCATGTTGTGTTTCAACATGTCATATTGCAGTTCGGTTGTGCATCGCAGTTTGCAGCGCCTTGCTGCCAACTGACGTACTAAGCCTTACTAAGCAGCAAGACCGGCAATCCAAACTGAAGGCTATTTGAGTTGTACTATTATATTAATATATATATAATTACCCTCTGGATATTTACATCGCCATGGAACATGGCCCATTTATAGATGATAAACATGATGATAAACCTATTAAAAATGGTGATTTCCCATAGCTACGTTAAATAACCACAGGGTATATATATATATATTAATCAACAGTTATCAACAAAATCAGATATGGAACACATCTATTAATCATATCCAGTAACATAGTAACATGGTTTTCAATTCCAATTGATGTTGTTAAATCCTCAAGGTGAAACCCCTCAGGTGGCTCTCCCCAAACAAAAAGTCCAGTGAGGTTGGTCCTTGGTCCCCTACCCCATGGGACTCAGGTGAGCAACATGGAGTTTATCTCTTACTACACCGAGGATCAAAACATGGTGGTATTTGGGTCTGATGTTTTTTTTTGGGGAATTTCATGGTGATTTCATGATGTAAGCAATTTTAAGAATGACCGAAGGATAGCCATTTCAAAAGTGGGGAAAATGATGGACCAGTGGATGGAATGGGGCATACTCTTTTCAGAGGAAGCCATTTGAGAAATATGAGTTTGTCTCAAAATAGGCTACCCCAAAATTTGGAGAGTGTGTTTTATTTTGTGTTTTTTAAATGTATGGTGTTTTTGGTGATAGGTGATAGGCTTCTGGAATGGGAAGCATATCAT